ATCTTTTAACATTAATAGTATATTTAGTTTAAGAAAAATAGAGAGGGTGAGAGGGGGATAATAAATTTTTTTATCAATTAAATTATAATATTTAAAAATTTTATAATTTAACTAGTTAAAAAATTCATTTATTTCTTTTTTTTTTACTACATTTGAATGGGTTATATAAGAGGGGATAGTTTTCCTCTTTTCCTAAATCCTTTTTCGCTTGACTCAAGATTTGAACTCGAGATTTCCAATTCAGAATTTTAAGTTTTTAACCATTGAGTTATCTTATTAGGGTTTTTTCCTTAAATTAAACATATTGCAAAAGTTCAAAATCTTAGAAAAAAATATAAAACCATTAGGGTTTGAGGAAAACGAAAATCAAATTAAAACGTTGTGTTGTGGATAAAAAAGAAAAGAAATTGGCTCATTCTCTATTTCCCCCTTTAAAAAACATAATAGTCTTTCTCTTTTCTTAAATCATTTTCTGCTTAATTTAAGATTCAAACTTAAGATCTCCAATTCAGAATTTTAAGTTCTTAATCATTGAGCCCATTAGGGTTTTTTCCTTAGATTAAACATATTGCAAAAGTTCAAAATCTTAGAAAAAAGAAAACCATTAGGGTTTGAGGAAAACGAAAATCAAATTAAAACGTTGTGTTGCGGATAAAAGAAAAGAAATTGACTCATTCTCTATTTCCCCCTTAAAAAACATGATATTAATAAATGTGATTTTCTTATAAAAAAAATCAACATCTGAATTCTAAAATTTGTAAATATAAAAATGTGGTTACCAGGTGGACCAGGATACAAAACTGAAGATCCAACGCGTGTAAGACAAACCCCTGGTCTTCGGTTCGGTTGCACTAAGCCACTAACCAATGTGTTTTATTTTTTCTTTAGCTCCAAGTGGGCCGCATTATCTTTTTGGTCATCACCTGCCGACGCCGAACCATCTACAATCAAATTAGATACAACCACTCACCTTCCCCAGATGCATTATTATGGGATTGTTGTACTTTATCCCCCACTAAATTCTGCCCTTTTAATTTTAATTCCCCTTTATTTCTATTTTTATTTTTATATGTAAAGTCAAATTGCTAGATTTAAAAACCAATCTCTTCACATGATTTTTTATGCATCTAATGTTTTAAATTTAATTAATTATATATATAAAAAAAAAAATCTCCTATTTGAGATTTTGGTGGTATATTACATGGCTTTTGGGTCGCAATCCGGGTGATTGATTAATAGGTTCAAAATCACTTAAATTGGAGTTCTAATCACAGCATTTCGAGTACTATTTAGAGAATAAATAAAATAAAAAGTCCATTAGTCATTTGGATAATGATTTTGGTAGATGCCGGCCATTACCTTTTTTTTTTTTTTTTTTGAAAATAGGTAATGGATGCCGGCCATTACTTAAGTCTCGTTTGTGGGTGCTTTTTATATATCATTTTTATTTAATATATTATAATATTAGTCTTTATCAATTTTGATTTTAAAAAAAATTTAAAACTCAATAAATATTTAGAATTTGGAGTTTCAATTTAAAAT